GGCACCCTGCTATTTGTGGCATGTGGTCATCGATTCTGCGACAGCAAATAAAGGAGAGAGTGCGGGTGAGATTGGATATCGTTAGGGAATACAGATCTGTTCGGTTAGAAATCCGTCAAACTGAGACTAACTCCGTATGACCCACCTTAGTGCAACAAAAGTAGACACAACCTCAAAAGAAACACATATGCAGGTCAAAGCTTGCTGTTAACAAGCTTATCCGGTTGGATAGTTGCTGGACCAGGACAAAGTACTTCCAACCACTTGTTGTTGTTGCCTCATACGTTACTAGTGATCCATCATTCTTGCCCTAAAAGTTTTGTTCAACTGAGGAAAACACTGGCTAACCCCGTTTGTTACAAACTCCAAAATCATGATAGCTTGTCTATACTGGAAAAAATAATCAAAATAATCAATAAAGAGGACTTTGCTTGCGAGGCGTTAGGTAATACGACCACTGTTACAAGATGCGTTGTCCAACGATGCCTTTAAATATCCTTAGTCAATTGATTTCTAAGTTATCCAAGTTCAGGAAATGTGAAAATGAGCATGTGTCATGTTTAGTTATCTGTGAAGTGACTATTTGAGGTCTAAATAGGTGGCTACAGTTGGTTACTTATTAGACCAATCTGACTAGTTTAGTAAAAGCTAGACCGTTACTCCAAGAGCCATAAGGAGAACATTCTTAATCCAGTCGCCTTGCACCAACACGGAACGGTACGCACTAATAACAGTCACGTATTTGGTAGAATAACGCGTAATATAAGACCCCAGGCTGAATTTAATACAATCCAATTGTTGTCAGATATATCTGCACACCCGTTTACCCTGTCCTGTATTTCCAGCCACTACAATGGGAAAGACAAGTTGTTTAGTTGTCGAAAACTAGTGGATTGTCCGTGATAACGCTTGGGTATGTGTGTTTCGGCGGTTAGATAATCAATCTGTTTCGCAGATATCAGGGTTATCCAAACAGAGTGAAATGAAGAAACAGTTCACCCGGAACTGATAACGATTTGAAATTTTCTTTTTTGGCGCAGATTTCAATTCACGATCATACATGCTCGCCTGTTTGGATTTTTCCTTCAAGCATAGTGGATTGCTTCGATGGGGTGGTCTATTTGTGTCTTGAATGGAATACAAAATATACATATTTCTGACGAATCCCATGGAAGGCTGTTTGTCAGTCATCACGTAGAAATCATTTTGATGGGAAGCAATAAAGAAAAATAACTTCTGTTTGTTTAAGGACACCCAAAAATTAAAAAAATAAATGGTTTCTAGTCACGGCAAACCTGTTGAATGATTTCTCCAGCTGTGGATTTGCAACTAAATGCGACTGGGGAAAATGTGACTGTCACATCGCATAATTGGTGCAGTAATCATTCGGACAGTGATTACTGCGATGCGACCGTGCTGAAGCAACCCCACATTTCAGTACTAATATGGGCTTTAAATTTAATCTGAAAATATTCCATTTTGATGAAATAAGTGATTGTTGCATCCAGTTTCGTTGGGAGCATTCTCAAAACCAGGATAGAATCAAAGATATGGGATTTGAACAACAATTTGCCATCAGATCGCAATTATTTATCACTAAATGGGAAAGAAAAGTGACTGATTGTTGGGCGTCGTTCGTCTGTGATCAGCACGGCGAGCGATAGTAACGACAAAGCAGAGTTAGAATAATTGTTGAGCCCCGTTCAATAATAAACTCTTCATTTCGTTAGCTGACACAAGTGATTTCTTATTATCTGGGACTTTTCTATTGAATTCTTTAAAATAAATTTTACATTCCCCTCATATAACAAGCAGTCAGGTTGTGAAAGCTTCCCACCGAGTCATAACCGCGGAGGCTAGTGCTGAGATGGATAAAATCCGTTGCTCGTAACAAGCTCGCAAAGACGAATTGTGTTATATCGTTTATCTTCAAAATGATAAACGGTATGATCAGCTGCCCAGTGGTCAAGTGGGCAGTATACTTGCGTTTGAACTGTGATGAGGTCCAGGTTTCGATTTCCAGGTGAGTCGTCGGGTTCGCCCACTGCACATGAAATCCAACCAGATCGAAACAGCTGTCTAATTCTTCCCATCTTTTCAACTCACCGCTAATTTACACGGCGAATTCATCGTCTATTAAATTCCATACCGCTAGCGGAGAATCAAATTTTGATTAAAACTGCAGTCTTCTTGCAATGACTGGTAGACTAGTAGACTTCGGTGGAAGTAGTTCGAAAAGAAAATCACTCGATGCAACGGTATAACTTTGTAACACAACAAAGCTCCTACTATATTCACGTTCAAGCAAGTCCTTTTAAGGGCTAAAAAATAAAATGCCGTAAGCAACCTCCTCTTTTTGTATACACTCATTTACGTGATCTCGGGGAACGTAGTCCATAGGTCACCCGACCGGCAGCGTCCGAATGGATAAGTGATAATTAGTGGAACGATTAAATCATGGACCATAGTGCACTGGTCTCACACCTAACTGACAAAAGTCGCGGTGAAGATCAGAGATCCTCCCGTCATGAATGGGGTTGGCGGTCGACTGTCAAGGTAGGTTCCCTGAATGGCCCCCCCACACACACCTCCTGATCTGCTGGTGCTTCATGCTTTCTTAGCTCACCACTAAACACGCTACAGAAGACACTAACCTCTAATACTGTGAGATGTACGTTTTCCCCGTCTCCGAAATCCCGTATATATATATATATATATATATATATATATATATATACATTCGTCACAAAAACCTCATCTATAAAACCGGGTAAAGTTATTTCGACAGCTCTTTCAGATCCTGTACATGCAAGTTTAACCGATATTGCAAATGAGATCATTGTGATGAAAATACACTTTTTTGGTATAAGTATGTGAATGAACTGACAAAAAATTACTGGATATGCATGCCTGGCTAGCGGCAAATACCGCGAAACCGGTGTTATTCTTCCAATGAAATTTTGTCTGGTAATTCATATACTGCTTATTAGGAAATAAATATTAATTTTACGCTACCTGAGTGTGAAACATTGAAGGGCTTCCTTTTCCGTTCTGTTTTATTCAAAAGCTACTGCGCGACATCGTTCTGACAGTGTTATCTGTCTTAGCAATAGGATGATAACAACCAGTATGTTTCATTCGGCGTATACCTGTGCATTCCCGGGAAAACCAGCTCGGGTGCAGAACTTAATGAGTGGATCTCCTTAAGTAAATAATTCTTTTCAACGAGGAATCCTTTAAGTGGGTTACGGTAACTAAAATTATGTTGCACTCATTGTTCCCCTAGAAATAAAACCTCTCATGCTCTGTGAAACCAATTTTACCGAGAACCATTTCTAAATTCCAGTACACGAGCGTAGTTGAAGCCAAATCTGAAATTTATCATAAACTTTGATCTTCGAATTGTTTCCTATTGGCAAAAGCTTTTATTGATCGAAATCTCTGCTCTCTGTTCTGTGGAACGATCAATCGATTAGTGCCCAAGAGTGTAGGGTACATTTTTTCGAATGCAGCCATCATTTTGATGACTTGTACAACGGATATGGGAGTCCGTATTCGTCAGGATCTAGGATGTTCCACACACTGCGTTAGAGCGTCATTCAAGGCCATAAAGCAAGTTTTATTACTGAAACGTGTTTTTGGATCATTCGAAGCAGACCTATTCCCCCGTTTGCTATCAGCACACATTAGACCACACACTGAGTATGCCTTACTGGCTTGAAATCCATGGCTAAATCGCGACCAAAAAGCACTGGAACGTCCGCAGAGAACAGTAACCAAAATGATCAAAGGGTTATAATCTCAAACCTATGGACTGTATTCAACTGAACACCATTAAATACAAGGAGACATGAACATCGTATACTACATCAATCTAGTCACCCGTCTAGTACTCTACTACCACTATCCAGGAATGGTCACAACCGAGGACATACGTTTAAACTTCTGCTCCAAAATGGACTGCTTGACTGCAGAGGACACTCTTTCAGTCTCAGAGTTTTCAGCACCTGGCACTCTCTTCCACCTCACGTTGAGTGTGCTCCAACCATTGATTCACTCAATTCTGGGCTCAATGAAGCAGTGAAACACCTAACTCTGTTCCGTTTCTGCGACAGTCGGTTATAATTTGCTATTTGATTGAACTACTACCAGCCGAATCCCGTGTGTGTACAGATCATAGTCGGGCTTCGCTAAACATCAACCTTGTAACTTACCCATAGTAAACAGTGGAATTTTAAAATTTGACAAATTGATGACATGATCCATTTCTTCCGGTATACGGTAAAAGAAGGATAAAAAAATCATAAGCAAAGACGTATTGTGGAGTCGTTCCCACCATGTTTGGTTTTATCAGCTGGGGAAATGGGATAATCGAAGTAGAGACCTCACAGCCAAAACGCCAGTATACGATGTATTTGACAAGGGGAACCAGATAAGATCGCTTTCTATTTTCCCTAACCATGTATAAATTAAATCTCGCACTACTCTAACGAAATACAGAATCATGAGCAATCGATTTGTAACAACTGCATCTTGAACATGAAGTTCTTCAGTTTCCCATCAACGCAGATAGGAGCTCAAGTTGTCCAAACCAATCTTTGCTAAAAATATAGCTCTCAGAATAGCTCTTCATATACGGGGCAAGAAAACGTGAAATGTTCCGATGTGGCCAGCACACAACCCTTCTAAATAGTTTACATATTTATATATACCTATAAGAAGTTGAACACATGAGTTGTCAATCAGATACAGGATAGAAATTTTAAAGTTCATGGAAAGAAAACAACCGAAGACGGAGAGCACTGGGAAAACGGGTAGTTAAAAAAGAGTACAATATTGATTATTTGGATTTGATGAACAAAACACCAGAGAAATTCTAATTGGACGAAATTTCTTTTGCTACTCGCCTGATAGTGGAATAATTTGTACAGCCGAAAATGAGGTCTTTTTCTCAGTCACTCTGATGGACACAATCCCATGCACCAATGTTTAACAAAACGTTTTCTAACTGTCCTATTTTTATTCCCTTTCAATCATTTCTACTCAAATAGCGGTAATCCAGTAGCACGAAAAGCATCACTTAAACTAGGGAGTTCGGTACATGTGTACAGCAGATTATTATGATTTATGGATTACACACAATTGTTGATGGCGGTATTAGAGCGGTCAAGGTCATCACCGTATCAACCCGAAGGTCATCGGTTCGAATCACGTCGTACAAATTGTTTTTGGGTACACAGGATGGGGGTAGATTTTGCAGACGAATGCCCACCACTTCTTCTGTGGCCAGCATCCGACAGCGAACCTGTCTGGATAGTCGCCCACGTACTTTGTGCAGGGATCGGAAAGCCTCAGACACGTCCACTGTGAAACCACCTCACTGGTTAGTGACTTAACCGTTCCGGTGTTCAGCCACACAGGGTGGTGTTCACGAATCCGTTCGGACAATCGCCTGACCATGCGGCCTATGTACGTTGTTTCACAGGAACAGGTAAATGAGTATACACAGAATGAGACCGCGGAGTCTCGAACTTTGTCCTTCAGTCGCAAACACACAAATGGCTTAAAGGTCAACAACACACGAAGTTTCAATGATTTTATTTTATCTTATTCTCCTAAGACAGTTTTATTCCCAGGTAGGGATATATATATTGAGGTGTATTGGCAAGAATATATATATATAACAAAATAGCAGATTTCAATGTTGTCTTCCACGGTTACTGGTGTCAATAACGACAACTAGTTGTTTGTTAGTTGTTCCAAGGAAACCTCGTTAAGGAAATTTGAACAACTGTGGCTACACAATTTGTTGTCAATTACCACGTATTTTGTTATACTGCTTTTGAAGCACGGTAGGCAAATAGCCAATTAGGTATTCTCGACCCGGAAACGAACCCCATGGCGTCAATGCAACCATTTGAGCGTTATTGCACCAGGTCAGCGTTCCGCTGTCAGGCCTATTTGGCCACATGTGTGGCCGCATGGCAGGATAGTGGTCGGGTTGAAAATGCTTTCACCGCAACCTTCACTGTGCTGCATTATACAGATAGTACAATAGGATTTGTCACGCAAAATAAAAGTTTTTGGGCAAGAGAAAGAGCGACTAAGGCTGACGCCGAAATCGGATACGTACGATGGGAGTGGAACTGTTGGCTAGGTTTGAACTCGTGTGGCATTTATTCCTGTCATTGTTGCCTGCCGCCTCTTAGGCGTGTGTACACGACGGTGTGTGTAACTCAATTAGTGGTCCCAATATATAACCATAAAATTGATAGGTACCGCGGTGGAAATGGCTCGTTCCGTGGCAATTTCGGAGTCATCAGCATCACCGTCACCGGCAACGCTCAGCACATCCATTTACCGGTGTGCAATCTGGAGAGAATACTGCAATCCACCACACCGATTGCAGCCATATGGTGCTATTGTGAATCATCTATCCGGACACCACAATCAATTTGTCCCGCACGCTGGAGATGTCTAGCTCCGGGGACGCGGGTGCACGCGGGTGCAACAAATGTGATGACCAGCGCTTTGAAGGTGTATGAATGCCGGTACACTGGGGCGCACGCACGCCCGTGCGTATGCGTGTGCTCTTGTCCGATGAACAATGGAGGCGGTTATTCGGACGTACGAAAGAGACATTTTACTTGACGAATCACCAGTACGTACACTCGTATCTTAAGCACAAATAGGCCCGATCGTCCGTTCCTAACCATATTATAATTTGCCTTTCTGTCATGTCCGAAAATCATTGCGCTTTTTGTTCTCCGGTGTCAATCATCCACGTCCTCAATGAGCTAACTTAAAGGGGATCGAATATGTGATAGCGGACAGAAAATTCGGGAGAAAATGCATATTAATTCCAAGTTAATCACCTACTGACAAGGAAGGTTAATAGGACACAGAACGTGAGTCAGAGTGACACAAATTTGCTTAAACATCAAAATGTTAGGAGCTAGTTGATAAAATTTTGAAAAATATTTGTTTGTTTTGTTTGGTTGACATTGATTTGCACGCAGCAGCAACAGCAGCAGCAGCAGGTTGTGAATGAGGTATCTAACCATGTACCTTTGGTGAACTCTGCAAAATCACCTCAACCGACGAAACAATAAGTTTACTAATAAAATTCAATAAATAAATACTGACAAATATCACCGGAAAGCCAGCAAGAGCCATGTCATGATCGGTTTATCGTAAAACCACTTGGAAAAGTCGGTACATGCACTTTGGAAGTTTTGTGTCGATTGCATATGAACGTGGTCTTGTTCAAACCGTATTCGATAGAGCCCGTCGAATTCGCAATGATGACACGATATCAAACGAGATCAGCCTTTTACGTAACACGTTGACAAGAAATGATTATCTCGAGGGATTTGTTGACAGATTCAGTAGATTGAAGATTGAAAAGTCCGTTGTTAAGTCAGCATGTAGATAGGAGATCACGATTTGTCTTCCATTCAAAGATGATGACGTAATTAATCTAATCCAACAACGGTTACGATCGGTTGTCAACCGGGCTTAGTATGCTGCCGAACCCGGAATTGTGCACAACACAGGGAGTAAACCAGTCCCCTTTGGTTAAAAAAATCCCACCTCTGTAGGCTAACTCAAACGTGATCCAGTGTGGGTGCGGAGACACTTACATAACAGAACAGAAAGGCAATTGCGTAATCGGGTTTTATAATACATTCTGAACTGAGTTCAAAGCAAGGTTGACATGTCAAAGTCCGCACATCCGGTAACTGGTAAGGACCGTGCCTACAAACCTCATCGCATCGATTGTCAAGCACTTGTTGATGACGCAACACCTTGTGGATCGCAAGAAAGCATTTCAAGTGATTTTTATTAGTTATCAGCCCAGAATGCTTAAGATTGCCGAAGCGGTTGTAATCAACCGATGGAAGCCAATTCTGTGTCAACAAAAAGACTTGTTCATCACCTTGGCTTGGTCTTGGTAATGTTTCCCGCCATTTATAAGTGTTTCTACATAAACCTCCTATTTTTCTACAGTAGGCACTAGTTGAGATGCAGCAAAATCGTCCAGGGTATAAATCGTGCAATATACTGGCTTCTCTTCCCATATAAATACTACTGGAATTCACCTGATTCTTTCGAAATTATATTCTACTTGTAGTTTTGTCTTTCTGTCCTTGAAGGTTGATATAATGTCTATCATACAAGGACCAAATCCGGTGTATAGAAAACTTGGTTACCAAATACACAGTTTTTCAAAATAACCCTAAGTCATACATTTTCAAACTTCATCAAATGCTATTGTCTGTAGTAACTAAGGTGAAAGATGTTCTACGCCATGCCCAATTACCCATTTAGGTTTATCTTTTGACTTGGGAAAACATATGGGCTTACGTTTTTGCCCGATGAACTGTTGCACTCACCTTGTTTTCGTTTCCGGTTCCGAAATATGACAAATAATGGAATCACACTCAATAGTAGAACAATCAAGAATGTAAGTATCACGGCTGCTGGAAGAATTAGACCCATCTTCACGACGGGAATCGGGGTAGACGTACTCAGAGGTGTATCTGCAATGATGAAACAAAACATGTTCAATCGATTGGGGTTCTGAAGTGTTTTTTGTAATCAACTTTGAAAACGATTAACGGTAAACATCATGATATTTGAAAGATGCAATTTAATAAACTACCCAAAGAAGGAAAAAATTGAAAACATCCAATGTGACTTGTAAGATGAATATCTATGAACTAATTAAGATTGATGCAGACCTTATCAATCTCAGACGGGGAAATGGTGAAAAAATAGTACCATGATATAGGAAAACATACTATATCGTCGCGTGAAGGTCTATACAAAACAAACAGTGCAATGTGAGAGTAACTAAAACAGAGTAGATCAGTGCATATTGACTGTGTGTGCGCGCAAAACTCCCCATTGCACGTAGACTAATGGAAATAATGTGCACCGAATTTGATGGAAATCCCACCAGTTTGACAAATAGCTCTCTGTTTTTGTGTATTTCCCTCATTAGGAAAACAATTTGTTTTTTTCAAATCGTCAGTATGAATCTCTCACGTTGTTCCCTGATATCTCTTTTAGTAGCATTGTCTGTCTGATGAACCTTGTCTCCGACAAAGGGATTGTTTTCAGATGTGAATGTCATTGTTGTGTTACGGTTCAGTTAGGGAACCTCGCTCCTCGTGGCGAGACACGTTCTTTTTATTTCCTGTTTACGTCTCAGTTCACGCCTGGGCTATTTATGGATACTCAGAGTCTTTGTTTTTTATTTACCCGACTTTTTATAGACTCCCATAAAACTGTTGTTCTTCTCCACTTCAAACCGGTGCGGTTGTTGAAATAAAAGAGAAAAGCAGGTCCAATAATGCGCCCAGTTAATATAAAGCTTACTGGAATTCTCGTAGACCCAGTTTGTGTGATGAGCTAAACGTCCTTGGTCATCATAAAAGCGTAATTGATAAGCCACTCGGCGAACTCGGTCCCAGCGAATTGGGAGACTTTGTGGGTCCGAAACAAATGGTCTGGTACGATTCGATCCACCCGGAAATGGATAATCCACCTCCGTCGCAACGGGCCAACCAGCAGCTTCTTGGGCTGTTTTATAATCTGTCACATCCAATTGGATGGTAGCTGAGCCACGTTCCGGATTCTCCACAATTCTATTAACACACAAAGTTGGTTGTATTTGATTTATATCTGTGTTTGTTGAATCTGAGCACGAAGAGGAGTCGACACCGGTTGTATTGATTACACTGCGATACTGCTCAACGAGAACACATATACGTATAAGCATCCAGACAAAATTGGTCTGATTTTGCACTTGTTTTGATTCGGTGTCCCGTTTGGCAGATGTACCGATAGGAGCCACGGAGGTTACGATATTTTTCGAATGTTCGCTTATCAGAAAATCCCCGGGTCTCATGATTGCTGGATCAAATTTGAGCTTGACTATTGAACCCGCTCGAGAGAATTGAACGTCTTTCATCGATACAGAGGAATCGACTGAGCAAGAATTTAAAATAAAATGGAAAATAGGAAATGATCGATCATGGAGCTGGAATCAAGGTAAAATATTTGCTGCAAAATACGTTCCGCCAATCTTTTACGTGGTCTGCGTTGTGAAAAGTCTCGCAGAAATAGATAATTTACGGTGCATTTCATTATGTGTAGGGCAAACCAAGCGCAAACTGACAAGCTACATAGAACGGGACAGTTATTTTGGATATGGTGGATCTCAACAGCAGTGAGCAAATCCATCGACCCAGTTAGGGATCGAACCCGGGACCTCACACGCAGAATGTGAGCAAACTTTTCACAGCTGATCAGACCGTTCTTTTTGTTTCTCATGCACGATATAGCACAATCCAAGTTGTCTAGGTTAACGCATCTCAGCATGGTCTTCAGGAGTTATGATTAGGTCGGAAACATCCCAACCTGATTACGTGTTACATGAGAGTAGCGGAGGATTTGATTTACGCATATGTGGAATTTCGTCCGAATGTAACCAAATCAGTGTGTTTGTGTGTGTGTGTATATACATATCATGAAACCTCATGAAATCTCCGTTACGAGAAGTAATCTAAATCTATTCTAAATTCGGTACACAAAGTGAATAACAGGTTTACGCACACACACACACTCAACGGTAAATACAACCGTCGGAAGGCTTTTGATGGATTACGATGAATTAGTGTGGAGCACGGGGGGGGGAGGGTGGCAAACTAAATGTTATCACAGATTTGTGAGACACCTAAATGCGTAGTAGATAAACAAAAACACAACTGGCCTGACAAGTCCAGCCAGAATCACAAATGCTCTGACCGGCGGAAGAACGACATCCAGCGACCGAGAGAGAGAGAGAGAGACTAAAGATGTCAGTTATTAGATAAGCTCAACGAATACGAATTGAAAACAGTTGATCAAACCGTCGTTTTACTCGTCTGGAGTTCTTTGGGTCAAGTGTCGGGGCGTAACTGCGCTGTGGAATAACAGAGAGTCGTCCCTGGACGAATGTGGGCAATCTAAAATACTATAGTATACATGTTTGTTATTTGAATCGGGGTTCAGCGCAACACGAGAAAAAGTGATTCACGCAAACTTACGGGGTGAAGAAAACAAGTTCCCCGTTGAGATATATTTTATCGCCTTTAAGAGGTTAGATAGTGATTTCTTTACTTTTCGTTCAGTGCCTTAGCATGCCCAGAAAGGTGCGCATACTTACAACCCTCAAGTGAAACGCATCGAAGTTGTATCAATAGCATTGCAACTTATTGATTTTGAACATAATCAAAATGGTGCACCTTTCTGAAGTATCGTTTAAAAGCAGTACTGTGCAATCAAGAAGATGGTACCCTGTGGTGGTGGTTTACCGACATAGACACAGATATAGACACATACCTGGGGGCTGTAACCTGACCAGAAATGTCCGTTTTCCAACCCAGTGTTCGATTTCGCAAATGTACTCTCCATAATCACTTTCCTGCACATGATCGAAAACTAATCGATACACAAGCGTGGGAATCGGCGAGTGAGTCGTGATGCCATTCGAGTTCTTCTTGCTTTTTGTGCTTCCACTTCGATCAGGCGAGAAAGCATGAATTTGTTGGGTGAAAATGGACGCCAAATTCACCAAAATGACATCACTCCAAGTGTTCGATTGGGATCCGTCTATCGGATCGCGTTCTCTATCTAACCGCGTTGACGATTTGCCATCCGGACGGACTTTGAACCAGGAATGGGCGACACCGTTCACATTGCGATCCAATTCCACCTTATCTCCACACGGTTTTACTCGCATTGGAGTAGAATAGCTTTCGTACATTGTTGAGAGAGGCAGTGGACAAGGGTAGGCCCAAATGAACAACTCCAAAACGGCGGAACTGCCTATTGGGGACGTGAACGCGGTCTGCCCGGATGGTACCAATTCTGGGGGAACTGAAAATCCATAGTAAGATGAGTTTGTAGCGCTAACACAAACAGTATCAGAACAAAAATATGAAATGGTTACTGTTGAAGAAATTGCACGTCGTACAAATGGTTCACACTGTGTGCCAAACAAATGACGTTATGATATTCTTTATTAAAAGCAAAAAGTTCATGCCAGTGGTCACCTACCCAGTTAGTGCCCCGAATATTGGCTTTTCGTCTTCTCACTTGTATGGGAAACACCTAAACCACGAGAAGGCAGTGAGTAGGGTATCCTCAGCAGGGGCTATTGGATACTCTTAATCTCATGGGAGCATTTAGCGAGGTGCAAGGAGGTGGTGACCAGCAGTAACCCGGGTCACCCACCCCGAGTATACTGATTAGGAAACTTGGGATTATCCGCTACGAGTTACAATCATAAACGATCTTGAAGACGTCATTTTAATCCAACTGACAAGAAGGTAGTAAAGAACTTCTCATAGAAATAATGTAAAAGAGACAAAGCTTTTGATCAGAGCAGAGGAAGGATAAACAATGAACGCATTTAAGTGGTAGTAGATTAGATCATGGCAGGTGGTGAATAAACCAGAGGTCAGCGAGTAACAGTTGACGTCATAGAGGGAGGGGGGGCGAGTTAAGGAATCTCTGTAGGGCTTTGTGGTGCGGCAAAATCTCTTGTGGTGTATTGGTTGGTGGGCGCTTGTGGGTGGGTGGTTTGGCTAAAGGAATGTAGGTCAAGGTCAAAGGATTATGGGTTTTGACTAAAGCATTTTAGGGTTTGGCCAAAAGATTACGGGTCAGGTTCAGACTGCGCGTTTCGACTGCAGCCTGATGGAAAGAGGTGTAGCAACTATCAAATATGCCTTTCCGACTGTGGACTGACGAAATGTTTAAATTGTAACAATTTTTTCATCAAAACCCGGAGGTGACATTCCATTTCGGTCAACTAACTGTCTTGTGATCAGATGAACTTCATTTTGATTCTTTTTCGTTGGAGACAAACTTGCTTACTCTGATAAGGAAATTTGTCATAATTCTCAGTGTTACATTTACGGGGTGGTCACATTAGTAGGATAAATATCTGCAGTATTTCCTTTGTTGTTTTGGTTGTTGTTGTTGTTGTTGTTAATGTTGTTGTGATTGTTTGGGGTTTTGACTCACTGTAGCTAATCCAAAAGTTTCCACATAGATCCGGAAGTAATATACTTTATAAGCACACATTTTATCCTCAGAAATCGTGATGTGTTTAAACGAGAAACAGGTGTATTGTAATTAGCATTTCAACTGGCTAAACGACTGCGCCGCACATGTTTCTTCTGCATTTGGTGTGGTTATTTGATCAGTATGGCGAATGTAAAACCAGGGGGGCGTAATGGTTGATTTAACATTTTATCCCACTGATTTGCAAGTCTGGCAAACTTCCATGTACGTGTTTGTGCGAGAACAGACTGAACATGTTGCCAGCCAGACTTCCGATAATCAAACCAGCCCGTATATTTTGATAACGCTTGTCTTAAGGATCTGTATCGTCAAACTTAATTCTTTCAGCATAACGTTAAAAATTTATTGCAGATAAACTAAAGTTTTCAAAAGCTGGCAAATGTGTGGTTTATCGGACGAATTAGACCGGAATCGTACTAATCAACAAATTTGATCGAGTTTATAAATTGACTCGAGCAAAATGTATTTATGTGCATTTGTTTGTGTTGCTTGACTACAACCTGAATGGCCTTTCTCGACTTGGATCACTTCAAATAAACTCTACGTTCCTAAATTCTCGGTGTTTCTGGTGACTGGAGATAACAAATTCCCCCTAATTAGTGGCAGTGGTATGCCTGTTGTACGTGAAAAATCGAAGTTCTTATTCAGAAGGTTAGGGGATACAAGTTGTCTGAAAAAGCTTGAAGTCACAGGTGTCCCACGGTGCACACGCCAACAAAGATCACCACCACCACCACCCATATGACGAGCACGTCGACGACAACTACAACAACAAAATAACAACAACAGGAAAAAGAGAAGAATAGAAAGGTTAAATGACATAGGACACCCCGTGAAAATTATTTGTACAAATAGGTTATATCATAATAATATCCGACATGCAATGGATGGTACACCTGAAAGAGCATGGTCACAGTTGGTGGAAAGCTTTCATTCCCAAAATGAAATAGATGGAGAAGTTTTTTCTTTTTCTTTTGAATTTCTACTATTGAATGGATTAAATGATATAATTTTCAGAAACGGAGTAGTGGTCAATCAAATGGTTACCATACACTGCACGATGGGGGAACGTCAGGCATTGTTGGTAGTGGGATTCGTACACACGTCCTCCGGGGTGATAATTTGGTAACCTTCACCACCGAGCCACCACCGCCTGGTCTTTCCTATCGAATTTCCTCGACAACGTTTCCACCTTAGAAAGTACTGCTCTTCTGAAGATTCGAACAAATCATGGTTGAACTTACTAAAGTGCACTCAGTCATTTGGAAACACAATTCACCGACCCAAAAATTTAGCGTCGTAATTTTTCTTCAGAATGCAATATCCAGAAAAAATCACAAGTTTAACGCAACTTGCAAAAATTTAATCTAATCGTGGTACTGTCCGTTTGAAGCAAAACTCACACTGATTACAACTGGCAGATGTGCAAATAAACCGTAGTTCTAATTTTGTCTACGCTTACTAGGTGCGGCATAATCAAATTATTCCACCATGCTTTGCTTGCCCCCAAACTGTCGTGATACCTGTTCTAAGAATTGTTTGGCTGCAAAAGAAAATAGAGTGAAATGTCCGGCAAGGAACCTCGGGAATCATTGGCGAGACATATCGTGTTTTTTGAGTGATTCATTCTAGTCATAGTTCTCTGAGTTACATGGCTGGAGGTCAACACCTTATGTGAATGATTACATCAAATAACTATTTTCTTGAATTGATTTTGGGGCGGAGAATACACTTATGAAACTAATCGCCTCAGAGGCATCTTGATCAATGATAAATAATTAAACCAGGAGTGACTGTAAAGAAATTGTGTTTACCTGATTTTCATAATGAAACTCATCGTCTGAAATTAATTCCCCCGTAGTTTCCCACTGCTCCTCGTTAAAAAATAAATGTCACTTTAGTTTGAGGTGGAATGTTTGAAATTAGTGAAAGTAGAGTGACAGAAGTTGAATTCTCTATCCTGATAAGGAGGAAAAAATCGCCCTCTCTGGAACAGTAGACATTTCTGAGACCAGGTANTTTTGAATCGAATCCCATATAAATACCGCCGCGCCGACACACCACAACTGAACATTCAGGTAGCGAAACCACAATGAATCAGGCCGGTTAAACAAGCAGAGGAAGAAGTATGCAGTTTAGCATGGACAAAACCCATTATATGCTCCAAGGTAACGCTAATTTAGTGGACTTGACTTAGACAACGTTCTTGCGCAGGCTATCTGCTATACGCCAGCACGAGACAAAGCCACTGTGCATGCTTAGGCGGCCTTCTAAAAACTGTCCATTTTTGAGGCCCCCAGCGCTCTGGGCCTCGTGGAGGAAGCGCAGCGCGTAAATCGACTCTGATTTCCACATCCATATGTTTCTCTTCGGTTGAGCTGTACCGTGTGCGTACCAGAAGACAACAACAACAAAAACCATATGCGCGCACATACACACACACCCGTGTTCAACAAGATACGGCGGTTAATTAATTTCCGAGAAATGCCATATGGATTTGCCCGGTTCGGCTGTCCCAAGGAGGAATATAACCACAATGACGATGACGCCTATGTGGTTCGTTCGCCCGAGAAGACAACGCGCAGTAGTAGCGAGTTTTCTCTTGTAAATCAGTGTAGTGGTCGAGTAACATTTATTTGTTTTCATCTAACGACTTTAACATAAACTATGGAAAGTCGGCAAAGGTTACACAAAAATGTTTAAGGAATGGAAAAAACCACAAAACTTTCGGGAACAGTGAGAACATTTGAGGACGATTATGACTCAATACGCCGCTAGACCGTTCCTGTTTATTTTCAGTAAAAATTCGTATTTTTCAACAAAATTTTGAAGTCTCGCATTTCGGTAAATTCTGTGTATTTTTCACGTAACTCCACCTGAAAATAGTTTCCAGTTTTGATGAGAATTCAGTTTTAACGACGCACAGTCAACACCAACATCTGTGCATCGAGTAAGCTCTACGAGCTGAGCTAGAGGGCATATAAAAACCGATCAGAAGCTCAATTAGTTGATCTGTATCACGTATATTTCTGGATCCAGGGAGAATATAATTTTATATTTTCACATTCATCATTTAGAAACTTTAGTTGTTTGAAAATTAATTAGTATTCACAGTTTAAATCATTCGTGTAATTCATCCTCACACAACCCGGATGTGGAAGAATTCCATGATACCGGTTAATTGTCTTCCGTTCTCATCTCGGTCGCGTGCAAACAATTCAGGGGGACCGAATCACGCGAAAGCTACAACAACCACTATTTGACAAAAGACGCAGTAGAAGAACAGCAGGCAACTGGAAGGCGACACAGTTTGAGCATCAATCTAAACATGGCGGTTACCCCACAATATTTCAAAAGCTAACAATAGTTTTGAATAAGAAGTTCTAGTTTACTCTGGTCCAATGATTATGGTCAATATTCCTTCTAGGAGAAAACAATGATTCCACGAGGAGAGCGAATTCGCGCAGAGTTTGATGCAATAAACCAAGTTGCACGAATATCACGCATATCCGAACAGAGCTAATTATGATTATCTCATCAGGTGTAGGTTTCAATGATTGGCCGCATCATCAGCACCAAACATGTTATACGGTCACATGTTGTTGTTGGTATTGTTGTTGTTTTTATTATTATTCTTGTTCTTGATAGCGAATGTAAAACCAAACATGATGCGTGCTATCCACCCAGTCACGTGATCAGCTCAATAACTGTCCGATCAAACAAACAAGCGAAATATTAGTTCCCCTATGAGTCTAAAATTGGAACAGAAATAATGGGTGTTAAGGCACGCTAAAGACGCATTTGTGGACGAATTCAAAACAGGCCTATCAGCAGCTAAATTCTTTTGTGATTTGCCTGAGTTTCCTAGTTATCCCTCTCCAAAATGCACTCCCTTGTGACTATACGCTACTGCATATTCCAACAGAAACGGATAAAATTGACTGAACCATAATCAGGAGCATGCAAATCAATAGAAACCTTCAAACGTTCTGTAAGTATCAAGGACATATTTTACTACTCAAAATTTGTACAATAACCGTTAAAACAGGCCGAATAAATACTAAGCGAATACACCTTAAATCTCTTTTGCATTTCATCGAAGGCAAGTTTTGGTTGCTAAGTTGACAGACCGACCAAAAGCACACCAAGTGCTTCAAAGAATTGGGCACAGGGGAAACGTTTCTAAACTGGTCGTCGTTTATGTCACGATTGTATTGGCTCCGAAATCTACCCCCGAGAAGTATAGTCACATTGAAATCGGTGAAGTTTGTTGATCCCCTTTTTGATTTCATTGAACGATTCTACCCACTGTTCTTACGATTTACTAGCGTACATGCCCCGATAACTATACTTATAAAATGATAAGTTCCCTTCCTCCAAAGGAGTCCTCGTTACTATCAACCATTGCTCTTTATCCCCAGTCTGAAGTAATGACACCAATGTCAGGATAGTATAAATGAACAAACGGTAAAACCAGAAACCAAAAGCTTTCGAAGGAGGACGAAAAATCCGGGTAGGTGTAACCGGCACTCTTTGAGAGACAAGATTATTGTTTTGGGCTATAACAATGTCTCCTCAAAAGTGTCCAACTGTTTCAAAAAAACGGACAAGCAAGAATCAAAATAGATCGATATTTTTATGATCTGAAATTGAATTTGCATTTTCCCCGGGTACCTCCGGTGTCAAACAATGAATGTATTATGCGTGACAGATAGAGTAGTGGTGACGACTGTGACACGAGGTGTGGAATAAACAGCAACAGACTAAATTCGAAGTGATAGTACTATTTCTTTATTTAATATTGTATGCAATTCCAAAAAGGAATAAAGAACTGCAAGTGAAATACCTAAAACAGACTGTGTCATGTATAGAAGTGTATTTTTATAACAGATTTAACGTATCTCCTACCACAAAAACCTCAAGAACAGATCACATGTATTTTTGGTATTTCAGAAGTAGTGCGTTTACCCACTTCACGGAGAATCGGATTCCGCAACGATAGAGAAACTTTACTCGCATACTTAGGTGCACGTTGAAGCAAATGGTATGACGCCCGATTCATAACTGTCGTGAGACAAAGTATGCAGTTTGTGCTGCTTTATTTATCAATTTAAACAACATTTAAACCCTAATCATCGGGGTCCTGCACAATTCTGTGGGAATCCAGGTGGACTGAAAAACAGAGCAATGTCGGTTGTGTTGTGTAACTCCTCACTGTGTCCTAATCAAGCTTAAATAATTGAGGCTCAGGTTGATACATCTCATTCTTCTTAAATGAGGAAGCAAAGTTGATGTATTATAAACAACATCATTTGTTCAAATCGAGGACATATTTCTACTTGTTTCTTCATTATTCTGTACTCTTTTTTAAGTACATTACTGGAAAAGCACTGCCACTAGGGTTGCACTACGTTCTCCATCACACTGTTTTGGAAAACCCTGTGAAAATCATTAAAAGTAATCAACGACCCTAATGATGAAAGACAGACTTAGCTTCGTTACACTTGACTACTCTACCCAACTTGCCCATGAGGCTGTTACATTCATTCCAGTTTGTGCAGTGAGGTAGTTCATTTGTATTTCTGATGCAAACCCTAAAGGTTCACACGGAGGAAAACAACTCATTGGATGTTCAGAGTTTCTAGCTTCCTGTTTCAGTATTTGTCTCCAGTTTCACATAGTCCAGTAATGTTGAATGAACTACTAACGGAGGAATTCGTTATGTCGGATTTAAAAGGACAGGAATGAAGTCAGTAGTGGAATTGGGTAGAATTTGCGGCAAAATCTTCAAATAAGTAGGTCATTCAGTCAGTGTGAAGAAATTTCTATGCTCGCAGTAATCGTTAGAAAGTTTGTCGGATATATATTAAAGCTGCAAGCAGCTCTGTTCACTTCCTATATGACCACACACTACGTGATTCGGAATTCGGTTATATTGCTCACCGTAATTTAGTTCTTAAATAAAGGTTGTCAATGGGACATCGCAACCATTGAGAAAGCTACAGACCTATGACGTATTGTCTATTACTTTTCATTGGTGATCTTTCAGTTCCACATCCTGCTCATATCCAAATGTATACTGACGATGTCGTTTCATGTCAGACCGTTTCTTCTTCTTCGGAAGTTTCATCGTTCATTGAAAATCTGTCCGTAATCGAACAGTTTTCAAACTATTCTGGCCTTAATTTTAACCCATCTAAGTGCTTTAGTTCTTTAGTTCTTCCCGCTCTACATTCCCGTCGAACACTGTAACCTTTAATTGTAACCTTTTGTCTAGAGTGACCTCAACCAAATACCTGGGTGTTACTATCGACAATAATTTTCGGTAGCCGACACACATTCAGAACTGTATGGAAAAACTTGCATGCCTCTCCTTTTAGCTTTGAAAGCTCAGACATTTTCGCACTCCTCAACAAGTTTTGTTCTCTTTTGTTGAACAACGTGTTCTCCTTAATTTTCTTTACTGCTCCTCTGTAGTGTTTCCGGGTTTATTGAAACAAGACTTTAAAACTATCCATCATGGGTTGATGATAATAAGCCGTGCATCTTTAATTTCTGCCGAGTCATTTATCACAGAACTTATTAATGGTTATACGAAGTCTTGTGTGACCTTTGCCAATAAGATTCCCAACTACCCCTCCCATCGGTTGCATCTTGACTTATCTTCTTGGCACTCCCGCTTGATCATTCTTTCCTCTTCTCGGTATCTGCCCTCGCAAATAAACATTTACAATAAGTCCTCTGTACTATATCTGACTCGAATCTTGATCAACACGGACCGAGTTATAAATGAATTACGTCAATCTTTACTTGAATGAATCAAATTTCTGAGACATTCGGTTACACCGCACTCTATTGGATTTGTCTATACTTCTATATTTTCTCCGGTGTGACGACCAGTGTACAACTTTATCTAAAATGTAAACATATCTCAGCTTGCAAAAGTTACACAAATACAAAATACAAAATGCCCTCATTTCTGAGTAGGTCACTATCATGTGAACACAAATGTTTAGTGTTATCAGATCTGTGGAATTCTGGTTTGAATCAAGTCGCATCACGCCTGTCACATAATGCCAGTAGGAGTTATAAGGTGACAGTTTGTAATGGCTACACACTAACCGCCCGGCTGCTCATTCCCATAACATACGCTCATAAAAACACTGGCAACTGATAATAACCGATCGCAGCAGGTTATGGAAACTACTTAAAATAACATAGATGACCATATTCTGATATCATGGAAAGAAAAATATCTGGTCAAGATACCCAATTTATATTATGTATGTGTGTTGACCGAGAACGAACGAAATGAGTGTGGGTGAACTGGGTTACATTGGCAAAAGACTCACATCCTAAACCGTCCAACCATAGTTTCGACAAGCACAAAAGATTGATTGCTGTGCCACTCCGCCAGGGTAGGTGCGAATTTTCTACTAGGTGTGTTGTTTATTTTTCACCATTGTGAGTAACCACTAATCGCAAAATTGTACGAACTCCAAACATACTACTCACAAATGTGAGTAGTAGTTTACAACACAAGCAGTAACTAATAAACTTTTGTTTGAAACCAATATTCATACTAACCTCATTCGTACAATGTTTTATATTCTTTTTATTCATTATATATATATATTTAGAAAGCTTAGGCATATAAATAAATGTGTGGTCTGGAAGAGTGGAGAACTCACATGCGAATTTCATCTCAACTGAGCTACGCACAGCTCCTCCCGGTCCCTCCAACAAGCATGTATATTCACCGGCTAATTGCCGACCAGGTTGATGAAGGATAACCTCGGATTTATTGTGGTGATTGAGAATTTTTGACGCGTTTTGTGCAACCTCAGAAAAACCGGCAAGCGTTGTCAGAGGACGAGCCTGACCATGAGACCAAAGATTATCCGGGTAAGTGGGACGAAACAGCCAAGTGAATTTCCAAATGTCGTTCGTTTTTCGCGCGTAATAACTTCCATTTTGCGGTTCACTGACTTCCCCGGGATCGTTTGTTAACAAAGGCCTTCCTCCAGTCGGTATGCATTGTAAAGTTGTTTTGGTCAAAGCCAAACGATCCTGCCACGTTTCAGGCCATACCCTTATGCTTAACTGTGGTGGATCTGCGAGGGATTTTGAATCGAAAGACAAAACCTATATCAGCTTCTATAAACTGAAGGCGAGTAATCTCACATAAAAGGTAATGTTGATTGCATACGAAAGCATTCTTGTTAATCAGTTTAATTTGAATCATTTTGGCATTAAATTAGTAAAGTATTATTAGTTCATGCTTTTTATACACCCCGACTTAAGAATAAAAAGTAATGTTCTGATCCACTACCGATTTTTTAAACAGTACCCAAAATGTTTCATTTTCGTAAACACTGCTGTATAATCAACTATAGGGAAGAGGGTTTCTAGCCAACCAAAATTCAATTGGATAGATGGAAAAATTAGGGAACACGGACAATGTTGGTCGAACACACGGTCTCTGAGCGTCTTTATTTAATCACTATCAACGGTCAAAAATTGCAAAGTATTTATTTATGAGAATTTGAACTTCGTTCCCAAGTATTTCCAACAAAGTTCAACACAGATAACTGATTCTTATTTGGTGACAAGTTTCAATCAAAAATTGGGATAGCGCTTACAGTAAAGATAATGCTAAGTTCATTTTACTACTTGTAGTTTATTAGTAATCTCAATAAAAGCCAACGACGATTTAAATGGGCAAAATTCATTCATTTCATTTTTTCCGCAGAAAAGTAGTTTGAACCAGAAAATGAACCTTTTAAATTGCACAATGGCATGATTCATCACATGCTGTATTTGATAAAGAATGAAACAAAAAGGATAACAGTTTCGCTGGTACTTTGTAAAGAAAATTACAGAAAAACTTTTATTCACAATAAATATCTGTTGGAAGTATAAAATGAGCAATTTTTCTACCCCTTTTTTACTTTATTCGGTAGTAGCGAAAATTCAAAAAATAGTCAAACCTATCAGAGCGTCTGTTATTACACTCTGCTGATCAATCGATACGTGAGTTAAGCCTGCCATCAAACTAGTCACCGACTAATTGGAACAATCGATTTCCCGCAAAACTTGGAGTGAAAATTATGTGGACAGTTCATGCTTTTCTCCACAAATTCGCTATTCATTTGAATAAAATTTGGATTAAAGTTGTAAAGGGCAAAGCCATAGCTGTGGAACTTTAGATCATGTCGGCGGCAAATGTTTGATGGGCTAACAGTTATAGCTTTATTTAAAGACTAGAATTATTTGACTACAAAACACCGAGCTTGACCTAGTTTCTATTTCTGAAATGTATTGTATATAGTGCACTGAAGACAAAAGCAATATGCTTCAGAAAGTATCTGTGAAACGATAATACAATCGACACAAAAAGGGAACAGACTGACCTCAAATGAATGACTGTCAACTCAACCCCGGAGGCAATGTGTCGAAAACAATCATTCAAAAGGGACAAATTCTATTTGTTGATTGTGAAAAATTAATTTGATTTAAATACTAAACAATCCAATCTTCGTTCAAGAGTGCAAAAGAACAGCTGCCTTCGTGCCGACCAAATGCAACCAAATGAAAGATAGTGAGGAAAAAATAATGCTTTTTTTGAAAAAGTAACCTGAAAAGAAATATGTCATACATTTATTGTGTTCGAATGTGAGTTTTGAAATATACGAACAGAATTGCAGAAAATTAAAAAAAGAATAGTGAGCGAAAAAATTACTATTTCTCTGAATAGCTTGAAAAAAAATCAGAATGGTTGCATACGACCAGCCAGTGAAATCAGTACTCACAGAGAACGACCAGGGCGTAGTAACGTGCATAGGACCGAATCCATTCGATGTGTGTCACCTTGCAAATATAAATGGTTCCGTCATCAGACCGTGTCAAATTGACCAAAGTGAGATGACTCACAACCCGTTTACCACCGTATAAACCTGGCAACTGAGAGAAGAAATAAAAGCTAGATGAGAAAGTACTGTCAAAAAGTTGCTAATCGATGAAAAAATGGATGTTGATTTCGATAGATCAATCGAATATACACAGATCAATTCCTTGTTGATGAATAGCCCAAAGATTGATTACAAATCGAATCCAAAACCAAATTGTTGTTCCCATTGACATCAAAGCTTATGTCATTTTCTTTCAAAACAAAGCATATTACACTCAATTTTACACGGTCGGTACAAAACAAAATTACAGGTATCGTGAAAATGAAACAGTAACAAAATCATTTACACTTAGTCCACGCTGACTCAGCACACACACGTACAGAGTGTAACACAGATGCCTCCAGTTGATCGACATAACATGCTCAAACACAAATATTCGCATTGTAAACGTTGTGGATGATGAAAGAGGATGATCTGAGTGGATATATTGTTATGGGGGATTGTGCCATCCGATTATATTTACCGCGGTCGCTGGTATAACTGCATTATTCTTTAATATATAAACAGAGCTTCGTTATGGCTCTCAGGTATTTGATTTACTACTGCTGGCGCCTTGGCAACAATAAGCCGGCTCCATACATGTTCATGATCATAAAGTTACTTGGGCGTTTGGTACGACCACCGCCCCCAGCGTCACTCGGCTTTTTTATTTTGAGGGCTCACCTCTGGGCTTTGCACAGCCAAGTACGAACTGCAAGCAGCAGGAGGCAAGCCCTCACCTCGGAAGTGAGGGGGCCAATGAATTTAGTTTTTAAAGGCCAGTAACATCGACCTTTGTCACGACACCGTCATTGGGCTGATGCAGCTTTTAAACAAAAGCCAGGTGACCAGCCTGAAACCCACCACATCATGGTACTTCCGCCGCTGTTTGTTCGCGGCTGCCTATTTGTTGTGGTATGCCACAACNTTCACAGCTAACCTTCTCCAGTGATAGTCGCCCAATCCACAACCCGGGGACGTGCCTGGTAGCATTCAGCTCTGATTAGCTCGAGGGTATCCAGGTCTTTTTTATAATGACAGCAAACACAACCCCGAAGAAAATGACGATAGCCACGTTGTCTCATTTAATCTCCGAGACGGTATTCGATTTATGCTAAGGTGCGATTTGCACATGGCCTGGTTGAGAGCAGGTTGAGTGACACCAAAACACTTCTTTACCCTCTGTTTTCCGGAATCTTGAGGAAAGTCAGAATGATTGTTCAAAAGATTACTTGTACAGTGGTGTCCCCGGAAGGCTATGCGTCCTTTGATTTGCTCGGATTGTTAATTCAACAAGCCACCAGCTGCAGTTGTCACAAAGACTACATCCGTATCGGTTGTGATATGCTGAGCAACCGCTTTTATTAGGCAAGTCATATGACCTCTGGGCAGGCACCGTCTGCCTTGGGGTATTTTCTCCAACTAATTCTGGTAGGCTTCTGATAGATGTACCAACTATCACCTAAAATGAGGCCTGGAGTCTATTGAAAATTGTTCCCACTTGTTCCCACCGCCATGAACCACAAAGATAAAAAATGCTCGGCGTTATTCACCGGGATTTTGGAGATTTTCCCCCGAATGCGACATTCATGCTCATCACTATGTTAATGGTGGTCAAATCAATGGAATAGATGAAGCTCTGTTATCAACCAACTGGAAGTAAACGGCAGAATTACCGACTCCGATAGCAAGGGAGAGTTGAAAGCTACCGTCGTCAGACCATGCGATATATCCTTTGAAAAAGCGGCCGCTTACAGAGCGCTCTAAGAAAAGCCATCGTGAAGTAGCACCTTCAACTTTTTCAAAACGTAAATAAACCTGTCAAACTAATAGTGGTTGTAAAGCTTACCTAAGACACCGTTACAACATCTCCTCAGACATGATCCATAAGGTAGTACGAGTCTCGGAGAGGTGCCTGCGTCAGAGGGACACGACTTCTTGAATCAACTGCTCCTAGATACACACTCCCAAATATCCACCCGGCTAATTTCCGAGGGAAATTCGCTCATAAATATGCCAACGTAAACGCTATCGGCCGATTTAACCGCACAAAATGCTCACTATTCACCACAACTACCGTGAAATTACCGAATCACCCTCGAGATACACCCCGTGCTCAAATAATCTGTTCAGCAANNNTTCAGCAAGCGTGCTTCATACTTCACTTCGTCCACCGTAAGGCCGGATTTCCGAAACAACTTTACAACTCTCCACTTGAACTAGACGCATTGGTCATAGAAACAACAAAACGCCGATAGTGAATTGATTTATTTGGAGGAAAACATTCAAAATAAGATCAGAGCTGCTGCCTATTGGCAGAACAGCGAGGTGACAGTGGAGAATCGAGGCATTAAACACAACGCTCATTCCCTTTACACTACACATTCGTCTTGTGCCCGGCACAACGCAAGTGGAAACCGATAAGTAGATCACTTCATCAACCGGCCGAGTGACCCGTCAATGAGTGCATTACAGTTCACAACTGTTTGAACCTTATGACATGGATATAAAACCTCCAATTTATTGAGTTACTGTGAACCTAATATGAACATTTTGATGAATGGAGACTCAACTCATTGCTTTTTGTCTGCAAAACATGTGGTTTGGCTGAGGTGTGCCAATTACTGATCGATATCAACGCACAGAGGTCTTTTTGGTGTATAATTAGACGCTTTCATATGATACAGGGTTGCTCCACTCAGCTCAGCTGAAAAATTGGACTGGTCCAAGGATGTGTCTATTCCAACTTTATTTATGACTGGATCTCACAGTATCGCTACCAGGTCCGACAACCACCAGCAAACCGTTTTCTATTTCATTGTAAAGTTAACAGAATCGTAGATGTTTGAATGATCTGTTAGCCTGAGGGAATTTTAGAATGAGATTTGAAAAACTGAACCCGTACTCCCTAAGCCCTTATGTAATAAACCAAACTAAGGTGAAGGAACCATAAGGAGCTTACTTTTTTAATCTCGTTGGCAAAAAGAACCAAAATCTGCAAAACAAATCTCACTGGCAGCTCGGGAATTGAATTTAACACGAACAAGTCTCGAAGAATCATTGTGATGAATCGTGGATGCATGTAGCAGGTGTTATGGGTTACATCCGTCCGACTTCAGCCAAAACTAGAAATTGGCTGAGATTAAAAGCACCTAACCTATAACACGTGATATGGCATCATGGCAATGATTTTTCCAGACTTGTTCTTCTCAAATCCACTCCCCTAGTTGCAAATGAGATTTACATTGTATAACTTACATGGTGATTTCAAGTATATGAAAGACCTGGCTGAAAATTACCCGGCACGCATATCTGAAAGGGGCAAGGATCGCGAAACCTGTCTTGGGCTCCTGGGAGACTTTTCAAGTCATCCATCGTTCCTCAAAGAACGACACTCTATCGTCGAACTGTTTGGTGAGACAATTGGCTGGGTGATAAGGTAGATGCTTTCAGTCTATCATGATAACTGTTCCAGTCCCACACTTCAGTTATGCTATCTGAACTTCATGTGTAATAGAGAAGAAATCTTCCTTTGATTCGCGACGTCCGAGAATGATCTGCGAAAGCGATCTGTTCCGAGGACAACACATAACGATGAAAACTTCTTCCCACATTTCATATCACACCCGGAAGCGTATCAACGAGCAACGGGTGTAAGTGCTAAGCACTTTGAACGTTTAAACCTAAAGAAAGGATTAACATTGTAAAAAGTTCTCAACAGAAGTCTGATTTTACAGCTTTTCATACAATGTTTCGGGTTCTTATCGATTTTGCACCGAAATGTGGCCTTTTCCTATGTGATTACCGCCACCACAAATGACATTCGAAGGTTAGAGGTATTCGATCATCTGCTCTCTACTTCGACCAACCAATGTTGAGAGGTTCGGGCATCGATCTAATAACTTTCTCAAATAATATCACAGCAACAGCACGCGAGTTTTTATTTGTAATTGTTTCAGCATTTTTGACGCCCAATGTTTCCACCTGCTGTTTGCCATATCAGTGATTTCAGTTTAACCCTCAAGAAACAGACAAACAACAACGTGGTTTGAATATTCACGACGACAGGTAGTTATAAAATAACTATCTACACACAAATCGTTTCAATTAGTAACTTCTGGGAGATTTTGCACTTTCTTTCACCCTGCTGCCAATTACCAGTTACATTCTTTAGAAAATCAATTTAATTATACTAAACATTATGAATTCTTAATGATCAGATAAGCTAGCATCTCATGTATTTTCCTAGGAAATTCAAGTAACTTGGTGTATGTTGCTTTTTATCAACACTAAATCAGTGCACTACCATCCGAATCGGCTACTACTAATACCTGATGGTTAATGTTTTTTTAAATAACCTACCACTTCTGAAACCACGTTATCCGTAACGGGAACATCTGTATCAAATGTTTCCAGTGGCCATCCAGGGGTGACGTAACTGGAAACATCCGTGTCCCGATTGGCCATTTGGTCATCCTTCCATTTGGAAAATTTTGCTCGCTTTAACCAAGTTATTTTTGCTGCCGGAAATGAAGAGGTCGAAGTGCATTCCAATACTTGTTCTCCCGAATGCTCTTGAATCCCATTCAATGGACTCACGCTCAAACTTATGGCAGAAGGTGGAACTGGGGCGGAAGAAACGCATATCAGTGTTACTATTCATTCACTGGCGGATACATTTTGAACTCGAAATAGGACAGTATTCAGATTTCGTGAACCACAGAAAACATTTTTGTCGGTATAATTATTACTAAAAAATGGAAAGATTCTTTTGTAATTATGTTCGTAAGATTTGCGACTACAATTTCTCATATCGATCGGTTTCTTTTTGAAACAGTGAAACTCACTAACTAATTGGATATGCTGTGCAAACACACAAATACATCACCGCATTCAAAATGGAACACCATCACCATTCAATTAATATATTCCGATCTAACAAATCATTTCTCTCAATTGATATCATGTGATCAAAATACTGGAAGTGGATTTTCTTGTTGGAATGAAGCTTACAGTTGATTTTAATGAGCTACAATGAGAATTGCAATTGGATCGCACGTGACTGGCCGGCCTTGATATTGACTTTGACAGTTTTGACTGGCCCAGTGTTTTAAAAATCTGTAGGAATCATGTAATGACCTTTTAAATCGGTACGGCAGAAAAATAACCATCCTGCGCTATTTTAGTGACTTGTGTTCTTCCCAGACCATGAGTACGGGGAAATAATATGAACGTTAGTCAGTTTCTTCAGTAAAATGTCCCAATACCAATGAGACATTTTCAGCAATTGTAAAATTTCAGAATACGGCGTCTTGTTTTTAACCACTGTAACGGAATCAGTCTATGATCATACAGATCAGGGATAATAATTTTGACTCGTTTTGGGCCGCAGTACCAGAAGAGGTAAAAAATAGGCTTAGTACTGATGAATCCGAAACGGGTGGTAACAACTCTCCCCCGGTGTTTGCTGTTCGTCATATAAAAGCATATATGGTTGAATCGATGAAATGAGGATTGTGAGCAAAGGTGAAGTGCGAAGGATAGTCAGCTCGAATTAATCAATACCAAGCATCCCACACCACTACTTACAAGTAACTGTGAGTTGAATGCGAAGAATAAGAATAATTTGACATTATTCAAAGAAATATAAACTTGATTAGTCAAATGCTTTTTGTTCCAGTAACTTAAATCTCAACCAAAACGGTTAACTTAGGCCAAACAGTTTTCACTGACGATAGAATTGACATGCAGAATGCATTTCAACTGCCAATAAACATCATTGTATGGATTTTCTATATTGGTATCAAAAACATTCAATCACGTCATGATGCACAACAAACTCACATAATACTTCTGTCGTTAGACTGGCTGGCCGATGATAAGCAGTTTCGTTGGTCACTTCCGACTCGCGATCCCGATGAACTTGTTTCGTTGATTCTATCTTCAAACCGCTCCCAATCAAGTTATCATAGGACCAGTCCAAGTGACAGCTCACCCTTGCCCCATTAAACCACGGCCGACTGGTCAGTCTGGCCTCTGACATGGCCACAACTCCGCGGTTAGTCGGATCTTTTAATTGTGGCCTGTCTGACAGCTTCAGTTCTTCTTCGTCCACATCAAAATCTGTTATCACATCTGTTCGGCTAGACGTGGTATTGGATATCTGATGGAACGGACGCATGGTCGGTCGCTTAGACACTAAACTGGACGCGTAATCCATGGCAGGTTGAAGTTTCCATCGTATCTGAGCTACTGGGTAGCTTCCGCGGGATGCACGACAGACGAAGACGCGCGTACGATTTTCACTGACAGCACCGTGAGGTATTGCGGTTAGAATCGGTGGACCGGGGGGAACTGTAGGAAGATAAAGCAAGGGATGGGGGAGCGAACTGTATTCGAAATCGCTCAGTTCATCAGTGAACGAAAACAAAATCGCTTAGATGTGAATCTTTTGGCGGGAAATGGAGCTCCGCAGAGGTACCAAGGATGAGCACCAATTGATAGAGACAGATGAAGCGAAACACTTGAATAACAACGTCTTATCAAACGACGTGATAGTGATAGCATTCAACCAGAAGCAAAGGTTTGTACCCCTTAATTAATTCATGTCATCATGGTGGATGTTTAAACAGCATAAATGAAATCTTATGAGATAACGAGGATCAATAATTGTGAACGGGTATTTTTTTGCTGCACACACGCAACCGGTGTCCCCATCTCCACCCTTGTTCCACGAAGGTAACAAACGTTTTGGCTTATTTGTCCGAATTCTGCTTTGGACAAGGTTGAGGCAAGTAAAAGCTTGTTCCACTAACTGAGACTTTCTGTGGTTAAAGGGATGTTGCAATTACGAAACAATTCCTGGCATCTGTAAAATATGATTTATTTTTGTAGAATATTTGTCAGTTGACAAAAACCTGCTCACTGCGAAGAGATATTGTATCCCCAACTGTGTCATATTTCGTTAATGGCACGTAAGAAGACGCTATGATTTATGAACCACAAACTATTTTCCTTCATTTTCCCCATCTGAGTCTGTTTCAAACATTTGGAAATTTTTGAACTTAACCATAAGAAAATCTTTTATTTCCAGTGAACCCTGTCTAGAAAATTTAACTCATTACTCCGTTTGGAACGCTAACTTCGGTTTTATGACACGATGATACAAAGCGTGGGTAACCAACCATCAGCGGTCACTGTGATTGTCTTTAAGATGCGATCGGTGTACTGAGGACAGAAATCCGAATGAACCGACTAAATTTTAATTGTGAATGTATAAGAACTTTGAGCGTTGCATTGTTGCTTAAAAATTGTCTTCTTATCGCATCTCGACCACTCGCCCCCCCCCCCCCCCCNCTGCATCATATTTCCTTTATTGTACACCACTTTGCTGCTTTATAAATTTATCATCTAAAACTTAACCAAGTTGACAGAAGCGATGAATTGTCCTCAACCGGGTATACACTTACGACAACTTGGGGTCACTTGGCGACCATTTAATCTTCAAACTTAAATTATGAGAAAAAAGACTTTCGAAGAGAAGAAACAATTAAAACAAAAACAAAACAAACAATAAATGTGGTCATCAGATGAGATCCGTTGACTGGAATTTCACCCACTTTATTATTCATTTGGTGAATTCATTAACCTAGCTTTAAAAGACCCTTTGCTATGAAGCATTCAACATGTAAACCGCCTGTCCAAGTGGGAGTAATAGTGGGTGACTGTCTTTTTCTGAACTTTTCCAAAATACTGGAGGCTTGCTGGTACTTAGAAATGGGTACAAAATAACTTCCGGTGATTAATCAATCAACAACACGAAAGTTGTTTTCTTTTTACGTTTCAGAAAAAAGTAGAGCGGTGGTAACACTGGAGGGGGCAAACGTTCGAATCCTACCACCATCATCTGATTTTCCCCATTAAATGTTGTATGGAAGCCTTTTGATTGACCTCTTCTCCGTTCCTGAAAATTCTATCAGTATATAATTATTATAAAGAAAGTGAAGCTGATAGAAACGGAGTGTAATTCATTTTTATTGAGTGTTTTATTAAAAGCAGATGTGACTAGTTGGGATTGGGTGCTGTACATTCGAATTTCTCCTAAGCAGAATGAGGTGCCTTAAGTGCAATCGGTGTAAGAAGTCACAATGATTCTCCAATTCGACCCGTGGAGTTGATAGTTAAGGAATGAACACGAAAAATTCTTTACATATAGTGAAATATACCCAGAAAATGGATATTGCTATAAGTTCTAAAGTGTGAAAGTGATAATTATACTGATTTTGAGTAAAAAATATTAGTAACCTTGATCAGATCCGAACCCGCACATAAATGTCTTTCATATCCATGAACAACGTGAAGTACGAGTCCACCGGTGGTTCTTAACACAATGAAATACACAGCTCAGTTATTGAGATATGCAAAAGCACCTGATCGATATACAGAAAGAGACAAACAGTGAAAGTTCCAGCTATCTCCAGTTCAAAAAGCCCTTAATGTAAATATCAATGTGTAATGGATGGTGGAAGAAATAATTGAAAAACTTACACAACACCTTGACTTCTTTTGGTTCCGACAGTAAGCGTCCACTGATCACCACACTGGTTGCCGAGCATCCAAATTTGGTCTCGTGATCCGCCTGTTCCACTACCAGTTGTATTCTGGTGATATTTCTCTCTGTCAAGGGCTTTCGCTGTTTGTTTGTGGAATTAAAATATTGTATGTCTTGTACTGATTCACCTCCCTGTGGATTTGTGTGTAACAAACGGTAAAATGTGATTCGCGGTACCGGTTTGCCCCCGTTGACGTGACAAAGCAGTGTGATGGTGGAACCAACTGGCTGTGGCTCGGGTGGATCAATAGTGAAGGTGATGGAAGACGGGGAATCTGAGGTAATCAAGAGAGAACAACGATCCACAGTTTCCTTAATGCTGACAGTAGTGGTATTTCGAATAAGCAGAGAAACATTCACTATAGACAAACCGTTCTCAAACGATTAGAATGTCCAGGAGGCCTGAAATTCTACTAAATATCGTCTTAGATTATCAATAAAATCCCATCAACGCTCGACTATGATCCCGTATAACCGGGCTAGTGGCTTTTGTGGTGGTTATCAGTTCCTGGGTATGTGAGATGACACTTTACAAAAAAGACGGTTATCCATGTGAGACAAAACACTATCCACCAACTGATAGATTTACGTGTGTAACAAATCACCAAAACACGACAGTCTTGTGCTGAACGGAAATTTTCAAGTGATACAGCTGGCCATAATGTAGAAACACAGACTGCCACAAAAGGAACCGGACTGTTCTCAATCTCAACGCAACATGTCTGATATGTAGATTATAGGTTTTCGAGAACAGTCTACTCATCAATCACACACGGTATGGACGGTGGGGGCGATGTTGAGATGATAGACTGCCATCAGTTTGATGGATATGTGCATTAATCGTATACAGTCCGGCGCACCGATCACTTGGTTTGTCTCAACAGTTAGCTGTCAGTCTCTCACTTGCTCTTTTCGCGTCCTCCCTTCAGACGTAGAGAACTTCTTTGAAATCCCACCCCCGCCTCGCATCCAGCCCCTCGAATTCAAGGTTCCCACGAGCACGTCTGAAACTGTACACTGATAAAACTGTTGAAATTACTCCGTTTGAAATTCATTCCGATTTTCCATTTTGAATTCAGAAAAATTTTTATCACTGAGTACCACATTTTTTATCGGGGACGTGAAGTTTCAGCACGTTCCATATTTACGTCATTCCCTTGAGAGTAATGGAGCCTGATAAGGGGATATTTAGTAATACGTTTATTCCGCAAGAACTCATTGTTCCGTTAGCCTATGCGGATTCAACCATATCGCAATGTTATAACTCCACAAGTCTACTGCTGGCTTGAAAAGTATTTTTTCACTTAAAGAATGCCATAAAATAGGGGTGAAATGGATGGCACAGAACGAAACATCTAATTAGCAACAGTTGCTTAGTGTTTTCGTGAATAACTCGTTAACGGTGATCGCCAGCCTGACAGTGTGTGTTTGTATCTCCTTTTAGTAGTAAATGTATATACCTCATTCCACTCGCGGATGGATAGGCTGTGGTGGTCCGGTGATAACGTCCTCAAGCTATCACCCCGGGGATGTGATCGAATCCCACCACCACCGCCCAACTTTCCCCATTGTGTTGAATGGCAGTCCCTTGATTGGCCGCGTCCCTCTTCCTGAGGAATTGTATGTTTGCATAATCAGTAGAAGGAATTAAAATGGAAAAAGATGCCGAGGAAATCCAACAACGGGTTCTTTGACTGTGTTCACTAAAAACACTCCCTAAAATGAGAGTAGACAGTCACAACAACGGTATACGTGTAAACCTAATAGTTAGAGTCTCAATTCAAAAGGATCAGCCAAACAGATGAATACAGTCCAATGCATGAATTATGCCTCGTTGAGTGAGCAGCTGTGGGTAGGGGGATTTGACACCCTCCCCAGAAGTCAGCTGGAGCAGACAAAATGCGTACGGCTTACGAGTTCCGATGGGGATGTAGCACTTCGTTTTCAGCCACTATTTGTCAAAATTTGATTATGAAACATGAAGTGCTGATTCTTCTCCTCAGAACCATTCAGTGTTCTTTCGTCTTATTACCCACTCTGTCGCTTCTTATTTGTCCCGTTGACATTCGTTTCGTTCTGGTTATCGATTTCTTACATAATCAAACGAATGTTCCCAGTCTCTGACACGTAAGGGACATTCAGACACACGCACACCGCTCACTCGTATGACTTTAACCACACGAGTTCTCTTGTGACATCCATTGTCCCTAAGTACTGGCTGACCTATGTTCCGTCTACCCTTGTTCTGTACCAGTTCACCGCTTATCAGTTATCGATTATTTAACAACCTACGCACGTGACCTGTTTTGGTGGCTCCTTGGCAGTCATCTATCCATGTACACACACACACACACACACACACACACACACACACACAAGCATGCATGCACGCACGCCTGCCGCTGTTTGTTGAGAGGTTGAATTGTGTGCGCTCAACTCCGTATGATTGGCTCATACTTTGGGAGCATCATGTCACTGCCAGACTGGACCTATTTGTTTGACTCCGTATACTTTAATCATGTTCTTTCTTTGACACAGCGGTCAGCTGTACCCTTTTGAAGCACCTTGATTGTAAGGTGTATTTGGACACAGCTAAGTGCTGTCATATTCCTATTTGATGCACTTATATCTGGAAGTGCTTTGACGGCTGTCCTAACCCAGATACCTCACGAATCAAGGTTTGTATATAATTTATCATGTCATTATTAATTCACATTAATAGTACCGTATCAGGAGACAGTCTTGGTTGTCATTACATTGGAGCCGGGACTTTGCGCGTCACTTGTCGCCAGGTTTAACATGTGAAAGCAGTCCTTCTAACTCCGCAGAAAAGGAATTAACACGAAGCGTCAGCTTGTCTTTTATGTTTCTATCTATTCTATAACTGGCACATTTCTTCAGGAAATGTATTACGTAATTACCTGACGAATGTTTAGCGCAGTAAAATTCAATCGTTCATAGTTTGCAAATTTGAGTTGAGTAGCCAATAAGCTTTCAACTGAGCGAGCGATTATTAGTAAAGTAAATATTTCAGTAAACTGTTGCAACTCAGCGAATGACGCTCAGTTGGATTGTATAACAGTTCCATGGATGATATATTATTGATTACGATACATAATACGGTGAGCCACTGGGAAGGCAAGCGAATAAATCAATAATCCCATGAATCAACTTAGTTATTATCATGTTCCGCTTGCTGCTTTACGCTCACCTGGGTACAAAACATTTTCATGGATCAATGAATATATTTGTTCGGATAAAACAAGTTGTCTTTCTGCAACAAACCCATTAGACTATTTCCGTTTTTTTCTCGGACACTTTTTCAAAAGATTATTTTTGACCATAAGCGTTCATATATATCGCTTGGTTGCTGGTGACCACAACATAGGGCGCCACATTCGATGAAACAGGAAGGGAGAGGGAATCATGAGGTAAAGTATTTTTGATTGAGCTATTTGAAGTCGTTAAAAAATGTGACGCAACTTTAAATGGCTCAATGTGTAACAAATGCATGACTATCACCACGAGAGGTTTACTCTTGTTTCTAACATTACCCCAGTTCATTTACAGGCTAAATTTTCACGTTTCTAAGAGTTTTAGTTAGTAGTGCCAACTAAAAATGTGAATACACTTGTAGATATGCTGTGTGTGATGTGATTGAGGCTGAAAATGTAAGCTCTGTCTGGGGAACGAACTGATGAAAGTCACCGTATCTCAAGGGTTTGACTCACATTGACACTCCATGTCTTAATAATTTCGTGTGAGTGATGGAGAATTTGATTCAATTTCAAAGAGAAAATTCAGGTTATGATTGTTTCCAACCGAGTCATAACCCCGGAGGGTTAGTGCTGAGATGGGCGTGGACCATGGCCCGAAACAAGCTCGCAAAGATGCATTGTATAAATGGAAAATGATAAACGGTGTGGTTAGCTGCCCAATGGCCGAGTGGGTAGTATGCTTGCGTTCGGCCTGTGAAGTCCCGAGTTCGATCCCCAGTTGAGTCGATGAAATCGCACTGCTGATGAGACCCAGCCAGGTCGAAGCAGTTGTCCAGTGCGTCCTAGTTTTTCAGTTCAAGCTTCATTTGGCATACACGTGACGAATTTCCCCTTCCAAATAATTTGTCGAGTTACAGGAATGAGTAAACTTTAGAAAGTTAATTCTTATAGATAGAAAGAAGTATAACTGGGATCCACAAAAGGCTAACGGTGGAATTTACCCTAAACACGCCTTGTTCATTCTCTACAAGACAAGAAACCGCTCTGTGTGATAGGTAATAAATCGAAATGTACAGCTCGGAATTCTGTGCCTACTTCCAAACTGAAGGGTCAAACAAATCAGTTTACTCTTTTATTGGTAAAACCCGGATTAGTGGACAGTTGTTTAATTGATTAGTGAATCTCGTTCTGCCGATGTGTGTATGTAGTCGAGATTTGGTGCAGGTCACAAGGCCTAACCGGTATACTGCGCAGATTCATTGCTCGTGTGGGTGTTCGTCACCAATAAACTACAGGTGCTCTACTTTCTCTCAAATGTCTGACATCCTATCGAATAAGTTGTTTGGGCTGTTCGAAAAGATTCATTTTACCTTTAGTACTAGACGACATGAATAACAAATGAAGACCTCGATAGATATTTGTTTGTGCTCATTAGGATGTGACCAACTATTGATCCTTTGAACGATCAACACTTTTACAAAGATAACAAGTAACAGTTGCTAAACAGCTGTGCCTCGGGTAGTAGTCTCCACAATTGTATTGATCGGATTTTACCTGTAGCGCGTGTCTAGCGCTACGGGTTCGTTTCTGTGCTTGCATGTTCAAGGTTTGCAATTGCTGGATTACTGTCCACGCTCTGGGGTCCCGGAGATGGATTTCATGAGTTGACCATGTCGCCGTCTTTGTTAGATGGTGATGANCGCGCACTTGGGGACATTCTGGCATTCAGGGAATGCATGGTTCAAAGGCGTACACTAAGCTACCTACAGCACCTGAGTGCAGACAGACATCAACTTCCAGGTCGGGAGTGAGTCATACACAGCACCGGGTCAACCGAAAAGCATTCACGTGGGAACACGCCCACCGATAGACAGAACTGTTGTTTAGGTCACGTTGCCACCCCCA